AGAGATGAGGAGGGGGTGGCTGTGCTCACAGCCTCCTCTACACACCACCACCACCATCACTTCCCCCACCCCCTCACCTGCCTACCCAAAGCTGAGTCAGTAGCTACTGATAGTAATTCTCTCTTCTGGGTAAGATGTGTGCCCGCATACACAGTAAATCTCTGCTTTTCTACAGTCTCCCCCCATACCTAGAGCCTTCCATTACTGCAGCCTGAAATTTTCCCAAATGTCCTCAAAGCAACCCACCACCATATCCATGGGGTCCAGAGTGGAGGAGCCCACTCCCCTCCAGAGTGGCACCGCAGCTGGGAAAGGCTGCATTTAGAAGCAAACTCAAGGAGCAAATTGGAATGGCCCATGACTTATCAGGCTCTCTGAGAAATCTGTTTAGGAAGTTCGCCGGCTCCTGCCCTGGGCCTGCTCCACCCCCAGGAGGTACAGCTGGGAAGGCACAGGATGATCCACTTGCTGGAGAAAAGGTTGTAGCCGCCCCAGGGTGTGGGAGGAGGGTAGGGATGGAGAGGGAAGGAACTGCCTCTTCCCTATCCTGACTCCAATCTTCTGGCCCCCACACAACCAACCCACTCCCCTCAACCCCAGTTCTCCCTGGTGAACTCCATGGAAAATAGGGGGTAGGCAGGTCTGTCCTGAGCCCTGGAAATGATGTCCCCTACCCTAGCTACGAGTGAAGCCCACCAGCTGGAGAAAACCAGTGTGTGCATTCCTGGCCCATGTATAAATGTGTGCTAGAACCTTCCACACAGGCAATTTTCCATGTGCTTGCTGTGAACACACTTTGGTATATCAGTCCACTTATATTTATATACATACATATGCTTTACATGTGTGCACATGTATACACATAGGTGTGCGCATGCTTGTGCATTTGTGTGTGTGGAAGTGTGTACCTGTGTGCATTTGCCTGCATGACACTACCCACTCAGTGGCACAGTGAGAAGAGCTGGGGACTAATAGGAAATCTGAGGGCTTTGCCTCTCATTTGCTGTGTGCTTTTGCATGAGGCACTTTCCCTTTCAGGACTTTTCTTTCCGCCTATAAAATAAAACCTTTTTATTCAAGAATCCCTGAGCATCCCTCCAACACTGAGACTGCATTACAAGACTGGCCTACAGCATTTGGGGAGGGGTGGGGGCTGGCAGAGGCCCCAGCCCTTCCCTTGCCACAGGTTGCCAAAGTAGCCCCCTCACCCGAGTTCAAAGTAGGAGAGGAGAGCTTCGGTCTCTGGTGGGAGCGAGGAGGGACGGAGTAATGTTCTGCCACCTCCCCCAGACAGGAGTGAGCACAGCCTTCCATTTGAACCCACTGTGACGTTCAGGTTAAATGGGCCCAGGCTATGAGGCAAAGCCAGGAGAGGACTGCTGGATGCCTCCCCGCCCCTCTCTGCCCTTTCCCACGTATCTGCATGGTGGAAGCAGGAGATAGTGGGTTGGCTACATTGCCAGATGAATAGCTTTTCTCAAACACAAAAAGGAAAAGCTAGGCTGGCTGACCACTGGAGAAACTGATGGCCACCCAGAGAAGCCACAAAAGACACCTTCATCCAGGTTGAAGAGTCTAGTCAGGCCCAGTCCAGCCCTGGTCTGGGCCTCCGGGTCCTCTAGGAGTCAACCAAAGCTCACCTCTGCCCCTGTAGCTTGGCCTTTTTGGCCTTTTGACTAAGGGCAGTGTGTGTTTGGGTGGGGAGTCCTGGGGCACAGGGGCCTCCCTGGTGGTGTCATCTCTGGAAGCCCTACCACAGGTGACAGGGCTGTGGGGGCCAGGGAGGGGGCAAGCCAGCAGGCCATTTCTTCTCTGTGCCCTGAGCAGCCCCACAAGGGGCCTAAGACCTACCTAAGACCACACCTACACCCACAAACACCAATCACCATTGGGGCCCATACACCCAAAGCACACGCTTCCATCCCAGGCTGAAATAAATATACTCAGTTCCACCCTAATACAAATGCCACACGCAGTACAATCCACAAACACATAAACACACACACACACACACATACACACACACACAAACAGTAGCTCCACACACCCAAATACCAAAATACTTTCTCTTCCACTTCACTCTCTCCTTCCCCCATCCCCATCTACACACAGCCTTCTCCCCTGACCCTACTGAAGGAAAGGGAGTTTCCAGTGAGGAAACAGAGACCTTTGCCCTCAGAAAGAGCCACAGATCAATACTGTTTAGACTCGGCTAGCATGTATTTCCTCCAAGGCTGAGGAAGATTTAAGTTTATGGTTCAATCCAATCTTAAAAAAAAAAAAAAAAAAAAAAGGAAAGACAGAAAATGAGGAAGTTGAGATGCCGTGCTCAAGTATTTATTTCGATGCAGCCCCAGACTTTAATACACAGGTGGCTCACTAAGCCAGCCCCATAAATCAGAGAAATCAATGCCCGTTTATGATCATTATTACTTTCTTTTTTTTAGAGGGCTTGCAAGAAAAAGGTCTGACCAGAGTCCTTCCCCACCACCTCCTCTACCTCAATCAGGACGAAGGAAAATGGGAAACAGAGAGGGAGAGAAGATACAAGAGTCATTTTGGGCAATGACTTCAGGGCCTTAGCCAGATTCTTGAGGTAGATGTGACATAAAGACACACAGCCACAGTGGAGGCATGGACAAAATGTTTAAGTTCCCAGAGATTCAATTTTTTTCACTGAGCAATGAAGAAAATTCTATTTGCGCACAGTGATTGGAAGATAAAAGGAAATAATGGGCAAGAAATCAAATTACAGAATAATGATATTCACATCTATACACTTTACTAATACAATCATGGGGAGGGGTAACCACCTCCTTCCTCTCCTGCTGGGTTAAAGGGAAGAGCTCTTGGCTTTGATCTCTTAGAAGAGGTGAAGAGGAGCCTAAGGAATGGGATGTTTCCTAGAGCTGCCACTCCCATTGGCCTCTGTCCCAGCCTCTGCACCTGGTGGTCTTGGGGGTCTTGGGTATTCTAAGGGCCATGTTGGGAAAAGGAGAAAGGAGGGAGCCCAGTTCCCAGCCATTCAAAATTGTAAGATTCTGTAGCACTGAGTGCCTCAACATCACAACCGGATGTGCTCAGATGATGAAATGAGACAGGACCCTTCTTGAACTTCTGAGCAGCCTGGATGTGAGCAGTCTGGATGTGGGGAGGATTACCTTGAGCCCCAGGCCTCAGATTCCCTAACTGGAAGATGTGAAAGCCTTGACGATTCCAAGCTCTATTCCCAAGGGAAGCAAAGCATGTGCTTCCAACCACCAGAAAACAACTCACCTAGGCAAACCCCATGGAAGGGCCCATCTCATTGCCTCCAGCTCTGCATGAAAGTATTGGTTGAGCACTTATATAAGCAGGGGTTACTCCACATACCCCAAAAAATGGGGATGAAAGGAAAGGACTTACTGCAATAAAGTCAGGGACCTATGGCACTGTCAAATGCATCCTCTAACTCCCCTCCAGGCCACCGAGCCCCAAGCCCCCAAACCTTTCAGTAGGGACTTGGAGGGGCCCTAGGCTTCCTGGGCTTGAAGTCTAGGACTGTCACTTCTCCAGCCAGGACTGACTAGGACCTCAGGCCAAATCAGGGGGAATTTTTCGAGAAAAAAGGTGTAACGACTAGCCATTCTCATTTCTCACAAAATCAATCTTGCAAAAACAACAAGAAAGAAATTCAAGGGAAGAGCTCAGAGAACAGGATTCCCACGCATGCAGAAACCCAGCAAACACACCTGCAGACATTCTAGCGTGCAAACACAAATGAGTGCATGTACATACACAAACGTCCAATTGTGCATCTAATTACAGAGAAGTGAACACCCAGTTGCACAATACTCACACATACAGGAATACACAAAAAAACTGGTAGGAACTTAGATGCACCAATATCTACATGATATCACATATGCACACAAATATGTGTGAACAACTATCTGGCCACACAAGTGTAAGTACATACACACATATTGCAGAAGAGACTAAAAGGGAGGAGGGAGAGGAAGTTACAATTTTTCAAAAAATCCTGGACAAAGGGGAGATAGTATCTTCTGGTGAGGAACCCCTTCTTCCTCTTCCTAACCCCTGAATGTCCGAGGTTAGGAATGTCTTCCAGGGCTCTTACCCTGGAAGAATGGGCTCCAGGGCCAGCGGCAAGAGTCAAGACATTGTACGTTTCCTTCTGGGAAGTCCAGGTGTCCTGAGGGTCCTGGGAGCTTGTGTGCACACCAGTCTCGGTGAGAAAGCAAACTAAGCTTTGTTGGGATGCTGAAGGGGACTGGCGACCTCCCCCGCCCCCAGCTTAGGTTCATGTCCCAACGAGGCAGGCCCAGAGCCCACCTCAGTTTCAGGGCCCAGAGCGATGCCAGAAGCGAACTAGCACTAGCGTTCGGCCTCCTCTCCTCCGGCTTTGCGGGAGAGTGGTACCGGAGCCCAAGAGGCTCACTCCCCACTAACCAAAAGCAGTGAACTCCAGGCGGCAGAGAAGCCAGGGCGAAGCGACCCTCGCTCTGGAGGGTTGTTCAGGGCGGGAGGCAGCCCACCGGCCTCTGTCTCCGCCCTAAAAAGGCCTTCGGACTCTGAAGGAGAAAAATCTCTAGTAAAACCTCAGGAAAGAAAGAAAGAAAGAAAGAAGGAAACAAGAAAGGGGCAGGCTGGAGCTAGGAGCAGGTTGAACAGGAGGAGGCCGCAGCCAGGCTGGGCCCGGCAGGGCGCTGAAAGCAGCCGGGGCAGTTTCTGAAGCCAGGACTGGGGTTGCCGGCCTTTGGGTTCCGTGGAATGCAATCGGAGACCGGGCGTGTCCCCGCCAGACCCTCCAGACCCGGGCCAAAGCCGAATCTGGGCCGCCTGTGGCACCGCGTTCCCCCTCTGCCCCCTGCATTCGTTGTGCTGTGCGGTGACCGCAAGGCCCGGCCCGGCCCAGCTCCCGCCCGGTGTGCGCAGGGGCGCAGCGTGCTCGGGCCCACGCCCTTCCCTAGCCCGCAAAGAGGAGGGCCGCCAGCGGCTCGTGAGCACAGTGTACACTTTATTTCAGACTACAGGTTTCTGAACATAATAAAATCTTTGGCTTGTAGCGGCGGTTCAGTCTCGCAGTCTGTGGGGTCGTATTTCTCAACAAGTCTTCGGAAAACGAAAGGGGAGCAGGACAGACAGACCGACAGAAGGGTCGTGGGAGGTGGGGGAGAGGCGAAAGGCAAACACGCGAGGAAACACACTCTCACGCACACAAAGAAAAGTCCCAGAGAAACGAGGGCCAGCGATGCGGGGCGGGAGGCACCGGAGAAGCAGTAACATTCAAAAGAAAAAGGCAACGAAAACGAAACTGGGCCGGGGGCAGCGAGGCGGAGTGAGGGATAAAATAATTATAATAATTATAATAATTATAACAATAATAATAAAGGAGATTAATAAAAATGTCCAGCAAATAGAGATCGCTACACATATTTGTTTTCCTTACCTGAAATTAAATATATACAAGATCGTAAGCGGTTTGGCTAGATAGAGCTTTAAGGAGTTCGCAGTTTCGTCCCTTATACTGTGAATAGAGAATAGATCTTATTTTTCGATAGCACCTGTCCAGTCCTTCTCCCTTTCCAAAAATGTTTCGTTTAAACGTGACTCTCCATTCTGAGGATCTCTCTCCGTCTCTCTCTTTTGCTTTCCCTGTGGCTCCCCTCCTTTGCGCAGATGCTCTGTCCCCGGCGTGGGGCCGGAGAAGCGGCGGCGGCGGTGCCAGGAGGGGGCGCGGGCGCGGCGGCCGGACCGCGCGGCCCCAGCCCGCGGCCGCTACTCGCTCTCGTCTTTGTCCTGGACCGTGGTGGTAGAGTGGTTGTACAGTCCCTGGGCCATGAGATGCAGCGCCAAGCCGTTTTTAATGCCTGTGGCTTTCTTGATCTTGGCGCGCTTGTTCTGGAACCAGATCTTGATCTGGGACTCGTTGAGGCTGAGCTCCTGGGCCAGGGTCTGCCGCCGCTGTTCCGTGATGTAGCGGTTTGCCTGGAACTCCGCCTTGAGTCTCTGCAGCTGCTCGGCCGTGAACGCCGTACGCGGCCGCTTGTCCTCCTTCTCGTTCTTTTTCTTCTTCAGCTTCCTGGTGCGCGGACCTGCAGCGGCGGAGAGAGCCGGGTGGGGGTGGGGGGTGGAGGGCAGAAGGGAGGGGGAGAGGGCAGAGGAAGCCGTGAGAATTGCTGAGCCGAGCGGGGGATCGCGCCCCGCGCTTCCGGGACGATCGCGGAGGCCCTGATGAACCCCCGGCTCCCTCCCGCCGGCCAACCCCTGTATAGAAGTGCCTTTCGCAGAGCCACTTGGTTCTCTGGGTTTCCTTCTGTGCGGTGGGAGGCAAAGGAACCGCGAAGAAAAACTGGTCGAGGTTGTAGGTGCACCCCATACCCCAATTCAGAACAGGATAGCCGGGGACAGACTTAAATCACACCACTTCCCAGCCAAGAAGGCGCGAATCCAAGATGGATAGGTGTTTGGAGCCTCATAGGGCCCAGCCCAGACTTGGGGGGATCAGGAGCCTGCTGTCCTCACAGCCCTGGAATAAAATGGATGGGGCAGCGAGGGCAGGCCTGGGGGCGAGGGTCGCCAGCCTGCAAACTAGTCCTCCCCTCATCCTCAAGGTGCGATCTACATCCTCTACGTACTGTAGAGTAAGACCCCATCTGCTTGGAGCTGTTGGCTGCAGAATCCAAGGGAATGGGGAAGGAGATGTGAGAAGGTTGCCCAGCGCCAAAGTATTTAATGTCTGTTCCCCTTACCTCCTTCTTCCTCTTTGGCCTAAACGAAGCCCTTCCTAGGGTCTCGGGGATATGCTGACTACCCCCTTCTCTGAAGGAGAAGAAAAGGCCCTGGCCCAGCTGCAGACCTTACCCTCGTGACTCAGGCCCCTAGATTTTCAGTTTTGCCCCTTGGATGGTAAGAGAGGACCTTCCCCACTCCACCCAGCTGCAAGACAGGGTCTCCCTTATCTGGTCTTCCTTATTTCTCCTTGGAACTGCTGCAATTTCAGGATTGAAAGCTCCTGAATAACAAAAACAAGCCAGATTTGCTTTCTTTGCCCACCCATGACATTTGCAAGGATACCTGACCCTCCTCCCCCCGTGCTTAAGCAAAATAGGGGCAGAGGGACAATCCTGACAAAAATCTGTGCTTTGACCCCATGATGTGTATGGGAAGAGGCCAAAGAAAACCTCCCCAGGAAGGTGCAATCCCTCTGGAATATGAGTCCAGTCAGGGAGGACCGCTGTTGTGGAGCCCAACCTGGGAGAGAGGAAGGAGGGCAAGTGCGCAAACCAGGACAGGATTCAGCTGCTGGTCTGTGCCTAGAAAGTCTGCACCTTTGTCCATGGCTTCCACACCCAAGTCTTCTGGCATCTACTTACGGGCTCTGTCTTGGTTATGGGAGCTTTCTGAGCCAAGTCAAGTCCCTGTCAGGCCTGTTAATCTCTAAAACTGCCCAGAAAGAAAGGTCTTTGCAGGCATCCCCAAACCCAGCTACGGAGGGGCAACCTGGACAGCTGGCTTCTGGAGCAGACCAGAGCATGAGGTCACCAACTGTCTTATGAGGAAGAGTCCAGGCCTGGCAGACTGCACCGACTCGGGTCTCTGGTGAGGCTCATCCCTCTGAACTGCCCAAGCTCAAAAAGGAGCCGGTTCCCTGCCTTCCTAGACTTAATAAGAAGAAAAGGCAGGCAAGAACAAAGTAAAGGGCCACTCTGGAGCAGGACTGGGGTTTAGATTAGTAATTATTAATAGCTAAGCAGGTAGAAATGGCCCAGGATATGCGCACATCCCCGGAAAGGCCCCATTGCACGTTGTGGGTTCAGGACGTGTTGGAGTGTTGTTGTATGTATGTGCAGAGGCACGGACGCTTGTAATAAAATCGTAGTCTCCTGGCCAGTCCGAGCCATGCAGCCTGACAGCTCAATCACTCTATCCATCAGGCGAGTCAATCAAAGCAGCTTTTCGGAGGTTCAGGGAGCCGGACGTGTCAATAACGGGGCTCGAGATGGCGGGGGCTGATAGCGCGCATCGATCCGCACCCGGCGGGCAGCGGTGGGCCGGCGAGAGACCAGTCAGAGGAAAGTGGCGCGTGGCTACGTTGTTCCCGGCCCCCTGCCGGACTGCACCCCAGTCCTGACTGTGGGCCAAAGCCTCTGCCGCTCTCCAAGGCACCGTCGGCCTGGGCGTCTGGCAGGCCTCGGCCTCCTCTCTCCGGGCTCAGAGGCTGTCCCCAGAGCAGGTTTCTGCCTCGGGTTCGCCAAGCACGAGGGGCACACAGAAGAAGAGGGGAAGGGAAGCCGAGAAAAACAGGTCTGCGGCTGGCAGAAATCTGCTAACTGGTAGATGTGCGAAAGGAAGGAGTGAAAGAAGGAAAGCGAAGGGCCTGGAGGATGTGGGAGCCGCGACGCGGAGAAGCTACGGAGGGAGACGCTCTCTTCCCCTTGGCCCCAATTTCGGGCCTGAGCCTGACCTGTATGCTCTCCTCTCCCACACTCTGCCAGCTCCAGAGAACTAGGAACCCCCAGCACCCACCTTTTTGGCAACTGCCTTTCCCTGGATTCTACCTTCCCCGGTCACAATTTCTTACCCGGCCGGTGGAGGGAGGCTGCACTCAGACGCTTTTCTGTCTCTTTTTGTGTGCCCCATATCTATCTCTATCTATGTAAATGGACTCTCGCAGAAAATATCTTTGTGTCTCTAAGAACGCACAGCAAGATAATTTCTCTAGTCAAAGCCTCCTCCGGTCAAAGCCGGCGTGGGATTTCAGACCTAGATCAGTAGGCCCACCTTTCCGCCATATCTAAACACCCCTTTCCCTGAAAGAAAAATCAATGACTGTATCCTTCCTAACGATAATAAAGATAAAACACAAAGAAGGCCCCAGGGGGTCAGAATTCAAAACCCTGTGCCGCGAGCTGTAGCTTCTTGGTGGTGGCGGCAGGGGCCAGGATCGCAGAACTGGGTGGACATTCGGCTGTGGCTGGAACTGGGGACGAGGAGGAGGAAACAGGCGTGAGAGACAAGCGTGCCTGAGGCCGGGTTTGCTCTCCTAGCGCCGCGGCTTGGAGTTCTGGGGGCGTCCGCGAGCCGGGAAGGCACAGCGCAGCCGGGGTTTGGGTACTCACCGGAGGACGGACGATCCGAGTAGCGTGTGCAGTACACCCAGGCTGGCCATACGAGAGGCTGCTGCGAGTCAGTTTTGACCACGGGCCCGCCGTTGGCTGAGCCCATAAGTAGAATGGCGGGGTTGCCGTGCTCCGGGTACTTGGCGCCCTGCGCGCCGGGGCTCCCCGCGCCGCCTCCACTGCCGCCACCGCTGTCCGAGGGCTTGGCCGCTGCGGCCGCCGCCGCCGCCGCCGCCACGGCCGCTGCAGCCGCCGCCGCCGCCGCTGCCGCAGCCGGGTTCCCGGCTTTGGGCGCACCCGCGCCGGCGGCGGCGGCTGGCTGGGAGCCGTCGGGTGGGCCACAGTTCGCGTCCGGGGCGCAAAGGAGCGAGGCGGCGCCCGGTGCCCGCGTACCCAACGGGTGGACAGGGTCTCTACCTGCGCCAGTCTGGCCTCTTTCACGCTCCACCCGGCCTCCTCCTCCTGCGCCTCCTCTGGCCGCCGCAGCCACCAGAATCTGCGGTGGCGGCTGCTCCTTTTTACAGCCGAAGTCCGGCCTCAGGATGTTGTCGATGAAAAAGTTGGTGGTGCGGTGCAGCTGGGCCGCTGGCTGCGGCTGGTGAGCAGGCGCCGCGAGATGCTGCGGCGGCGGGGGCGGGGGATGCGGGGGGAGGTGTGGATGGTGGGCCAGGGGCGGCAGGCAGGGCGCCGCGGGCGGCGAGGGGGGCGCGGGCTGCGGGGACACCGGCACGCTGTCTCCATCGCTGCCGCTGCTGCCGCTGGCGCCGGGGCTGAGGCTCAGGCTGAGGCCGCCCGGGGTTGCCGCCGCCGCCGCCGCCGCACCGAGGCCCGAGTCGCGCTGACTTTTAGGTTCCGGCTGCTGTTCTTCCATGCTCGGCCGCCCCGCCGCCCCGGCCGCTGCGCCGGCCCCCGCCCCCCCCGCCTCGCTCCCCACCCCACTTTGCCAGCGGCCCGTGGGGGTGCGCGGAGGAAGGAGGCAGGCGAAGCCGCAGCGAAGGCACGGGGCGGGTGCAGGAAAAAAAGCCCGGGCGTCTGGCCTGGATCGCTTTGCTCTTATCGAGCAGATAGATCTCGCTGTCTCTCTCTAATTTGTAGACATCCAGATATGGAGGCACTTGGCTATTTCTTTTTGCAACCAGATTCAATGATTTGTTTTAAATGGGGAGTAAGCCACGGCCAAAACAGAAAAAGAAAAAAGAAAGCAAGAAAAAAGAAAAAAGCTCCAATAGTTTTTTTCTTAAAGGGAAAAAAAATAGTCTTTAAAGTCTAGCCATCTTCCTAGGCAGTAGTGAGGGGTTTGACTTCCCCGAGTGTCACGCTCAGCTGTGCCCAGAGCGCGAGGCTGGCAGCGCCTTTAATCGCCTTTGCTTTTTTTGCAGGGAGAGCGCGTCTCCGCCAGCTCCCGGCTGGTTTTTTTTTTTTTTTTTTTTTCAAATCTCTGACAGCTCGGATCTTTGCACAAACTCTCTCGCATGAAAAAAAATCACCCAGGCACACTTTTTGCCTTCAAACCGGAAGCACGTGAGTTAGGGCCGCACGTGTGCGGGGCCAATGGCTAGCCCGGACTCGCGCTGACACTCGGGCCTCGGCCCAATGGGCGCGCGCGGGACTTTGCAGATAAATAATCCGGGGGCGTCAGCAGCGGGCGGAGAGGGGGCGCCGCGGCGCGGGCTTGAGCGTGGGGTACGCCCTCCCCCACCGAACCCGGAGTCCCTCCCCCCTCCTTCAGGCCGGGACCGAGGAGGGGGCCCAAAGAAACCGGGAGGGGTGAATTTAGGGGTGTAGGCAAATAGAGAAGCAACTCCATAAACAACTTGTTGGAGAATGCAGGATTATGGGTGCGTGCGCGCGGGCGTAGGGTTAGTAGGCAGGGGCCTGGCTGCTTTTGCACCCCTAAGCCTAGGAATGTCTAACAATGTCTCTCTTTCTTCTCTCTGTCTCGCTCTTTCACACTTTCGCTCTCTCTCTCTTTACTCTGCTATGAAGGATGAGAGGTTATTGTCACTGCTGAAGTGTGTGTCTGTGCGTGTGTGCGTGTGTATGTGTGTGTGAACGCGCACGCACTCGCGCGCAGTGGAGGGGGAGTGAGATGAGGAGGTCAGTGATATGAAATAGAGTGGGTTACTTTCAGAAGCTCAGTTTATTTTTTACAAATAGCAAACTTGGGAGGCCCGCCGAGCTTAGCTAACACCGCCCGTTTGTACTTCTCATGTTGGCCGGCTACACTGCTTGTCCCATCTGGGGAATCCGCACCCATGCCCTTCCCTGTCCAGACTTTCGACAACACCGGGAGCTGCCCTGGCGCCATTGAGCCAGGCCCAGAGGGCGCGGAAGAGCCCCAGCGCCGGCCGCCTGGCCCTTCCCTGGCCGCGGGAGTCCGGGCTGGACTGGCAACGTAGAGTTGTCCCAGGAGGGCCCCCAGGCCGCGGCCGAGGCAGAACTCGGATGTGCACTAGGCCCGGGCTTTTGGGTTCACAGCAACCTAGGTGTTAGATTTCCCCGTAAGGTAAAATCAAACAAATGAAAGCGCTGTACCCGGTGTTTGCCCTGGCCAGCTGACAGTGTGGAAACGAGTTTCCCCCAGTTGCAGGGTAACTGAATTTCCTGGGATGCTCCCAACTCCCTGGGCATCTCTGCTCTCTCTAGCCATTCGCGTTCTTCCCTGGCTTTGGAGGGCAACGACGCCTCCAGCCGTTCCCACGCTCACGTATGCTGGGCTAGTTTTCGCTGTTTCCTGCTCGAGGCATCCCAAAAATTTTTCCATAATCAGGGATGCAAGATGAAGGGGTGGAGTGAGGATCTAGGCACCCGCGGGACTTGCCTACGGAGCCATTTTGGAGGGCCAGGATCCTATCTGCTGAAGCCTGCGGTGTCTGAGAAAGGCTAAGGCAAAACGGGCCTTCTCAGGGATGTCATCTTGGAGCTCCAACGGACCTCTTCGTCCTGACCGCCATCCCCAACTGGGACAGTGGAAAAAGGCTCTCTTTGGGGATACTATTTGAGACATGGGAAATAATCCCCCCTACTCTCAGTTTTCCAGAAAAGTCACAGGGGGTTAGGGTAAGAGGAACGTCGAACTAAAACCACAAGCTAAAACTGCAGTTATTGGTTTCTCAAAAGGGCTTGGAAAGCAGGAATTCGTATTGCTCTCCGCATCTTGGAGTCAGCCTAGGGTCCCCCGATTTCCGGGGCTGAATTCCAAGCTAGACTTTGCAGCCCCAGCCTGGAAGAGAGAACCTCTCTTCCGAGCGCTGCGCAGCGCAGGTCCGCTGAGGTCTCCTCGACCTTCCCAAACCACCCCCAACCCCATCTTGGCATCTCCCGGGTCCTCTTCAGTCTCACATCCAAGGGCTCCCCGAAATCTCCAGGCGCCCCCACCCCTTCTTCTCGAAATGGGGGTGGGATTTTATTTATATTTAAGTTCGCAAAATTGAAATCTTTATCCCGCAAGCAAGCGTGGGTACTTAATTAAATTCTAATTAGGACACTATCAATATCCTATTTAGCCGCGTAGCTTTTGTGCGCCTCGGTCCCTTTCAGCGCCGTAAATAGGGTCTCGACGCCTTATCTCGCCTGCAGGAGACGCCTCGAGAAGGGCTGCGGAAGATAATTTATAGGTTTTAATTACTCTTCATTCCGCCTGATCAGCTTGGCGTTCATCACAGGCCTGTGAATAAAACCCTGGTCAAAAGCTCTGTCACATCGCGCTGGCAAGACGCTTAATCAAAGTGAGCGGCCCCGCGCGCCGCGCGGCCCGGCTCCTCCACGTAATTTCCAGCCAGCTGATAAAGCCAGCTGAATAATGCGGCGGCCCTTTGGAGACACCATTTACAGAAATGACTTTATTGACGGCTTAACGTCGGTAATTCATTTTACCTTTCATGTAGTGGAGCCCGGATTTGTTACAGTAATGGGATGATAAATGCACCCGCGGCCCACGAGCTCGAGCGGGATTAGGCGGTGCTCTGCGCTCTGGCTCGTCCCCCCAGCTCCCCTCAGGCTGGGCCTGGGCCGGACACTCCGTACCCCGCACCGCCCCGCACTCCATGACCTCCACCCAGGCCCTAAGCCTTCCTATCCCTCCTGCAAATGAACATGCTATTGGAAACACCGTGTGAGCGCGTTGGCGTCCTGGCAAGCCTGTGAGTGAGGTGTGTGAGGGCTGTATGAGCAAATGTTGGCCAAGACGGATGTGTGAGGGGTCCAGAGGACTCCGAATGAGCCCAGGGCTGGGTGTGTGGGTGAGGAACTATGGGCAGGGTGAGTTGTGTGAACAAGTATGTGGGTAAAGGGATGTGTGTGAACATGTGAGTACATTCGTGTGGCCATCCTTTCCCAAGCACTTGTTTCTGCCTTTGAGAATTAAGGAATTTCTTCCAGCTTGATAGGTGCCATGACAGGGGGCCAGGGAGGTGGACCTGTAAGAAACAGGTGGGGAACCTGCCCAAAATGGAATGGAGCCCCTTTCCGCAAAGGCCAACTGTTCGGGCCAAAGGTATGGAAGTGTGGGGGCAGCCAGCGCCCATTCCCATTGCCCTGCAGCTCTGAGCTGTGCAGTAACTTGGGCTAGAGGCCCCACAGAAGGCCACAGACTGGGTCTTGTCTCTGCAATAAGTTGATTGTCCCCAAGTACCCTTCCCATACCCAGCCCAGATAAAAGTGGAGAACAATGAGGAGGAAAAAGATTTTGTTTTGTTTCCAATGCCAAAGGGGGGGTGGGCATAACCATATTTTTGTAACTCTATTTTTCCTCACTGGAAGGAAGAGGGGGGCCCAAAGAGGCCTTCAGTGGTGGGGAGTCAAGTAAACAGGACAGAGAGAGACCCAACCCTCACACCCCTCTCCCATCCCTAGACTTCCTCCATTCTCCTAGGCTATCTGGAGCTTCCACTGAGCAGAAGGCGCCGGCCAGACAGAAGAGAAGAGTGCATGTATGTTTGGGGAGCTGCTAGCTGGAGAAGTTTGGGATCATGTGGTAGAAAGACTGGTGTGAAGGATGAAAGAATATACCTTTGTTTCTCCCCTTTCCCAATTTTGGAAAAACCATTTAGTGATCTTGGAGAGTGGCTTGTGGCTGTGGGGGCCAGCGCTTATATTTGTGTCTATTTGTTCGTGTATGTGAGAGCCACATAGAGACAAAATAAGTCTATAAAAGCATTGTTTGTGTGTGTGCATTTGTGTGTATGGCAAAGGCCCCTGTATGTGCACATTCGTGTGTATATTCGAGTCAGCCCCACCAGTCAGGCATGGAAAAATGTGTTTGCTAAGGGTTTTGGTGTGTGCTGTCCAGAAAAGAGAACTCTCCCACCAGCCAGTATTTCCACAGAATTTTGGATTTTGTTTAGGCAGAGACAAATGTCGGGGTCCTGGGTGCTTCCACCTCTCTTTTGAGGACGGGGGAGAAGAGAATTATAAAAGAAAACCTCGTAGCCTGGCTAGGCGTGTGCGCTATGAGCCGGGAGTATGTTGCATGCACACGGTGGTAATCGCATTTCGAGTGTAGATCAGATGGCGGTGGGGCCTCGTGGTGCGGGACATGAATGAGTTGTCGCAACACAATAGCTCGCAGCCTTCCTACGGGGACTGGGTGACCAGCGGTTTTGTTGGGAGTGAATGCGAGGAGATTTCTGCTACAAGTGCCGCGGTATTATTATGAACCGGAAGGTCAGACTATACATCGCAGGTCCCCAAAGCCTATAGACCTTGGGAAATGTGGGGCCTCGAGCAACGTCATTGTACCTGACAGTCCTTTCAATAGACTAATTCAATTAGCGCTCGGGTTTCGGTCTTCATTTGGAGGCGATAATAATGTGGGGGTGGGTGGGTGCCGGGGGATTCGTTGGGTATTGGTTAGGGATCCTAAGCAATTCTACCCAAAGCTCAGAGTGCGACTTGGGGGAGGCCTGCAAAGGAAAAAAGCCGGTGGGTGAGGGGTGCGTAGGAGGCAAATCGTAGAAAATAAAATGCTCCGTTGACTCCCGAAATTGGGGCGGCAGCTTTGTTTGCAGAGGACCCAGAAGACTGCGGGGAGGGGGTGCAAGAAGAATTTCTTTTTTGTGTGTACATGAAATAAGCCCATAAATGTCTAGGTTCCTAGAAAGCTGGAGAAAAAGTCTGCTGCTGGAGGTTGTCACCTTTGGGGATTTCAATATTTGGATTTATGCCCCCGCCATCCTGTCTTCCCCCAGAGTCTTCTCCCTCTTATCTGAGGGAACTATTCACAGCACGGACCTTTTCTCTCTCTCTCTTCCTCCCTTCCTCCCTTCCTCCCAGCCTTTCTCTTGACTCCCTGCGGGAACTGGAGGAAAGATTTCGATGATTTCCGTAAATTGCACCCGGTGGCCAGGATTCGGAGAGGGCTCCCAAGCCCTGGGGTTCCTTACTGAGCCCCGCGAACTGCCCGCCCGCCAGCGACGGGAGCCGAGGACGCCAAGGCGCAAACACCCGACCCGTCGCTGCTTGTGGGTTTGCGTGCGGCATTCCGGGTGCGCGGGGATGCTGGAGAGATGGAGTGTCCCTTGGCTCGGATTACGGGAAGAGGCGCCTTCACTAGCCCCTGTGTAACCCCAAACCTGTCTGGAGCTGTACCGCACAGCCAGACAGGCCCCTAGAGCTGAGAATTTTAGAGCTCGCAGCTCCCGAAAGCAAGCTTACTACACACAACTCCCTATTTATTTTTCTCCATTTTAATCGGACACCCTCGTTTTTTCTCCTTACACTGAATCCCATCCAAACCCCAAAACCCAAGCCCTAATTTGGTTTCAGCGTCTTTCCCTCTCTTCCAAAAAAAAAAAAAAAATCAAGTAAATTCAGTGTCTACTCTCTTGAATTTCTTCTATTTTTTATTT